CTAATATAATCTTGATATAATACCAAACATTCAACCAATATCAACCAATTATATCTTCACAAATAGATATAACTCAACAACAAAAACAACTAATTTCAACCAATAAACCCTGATCAATTAAGATCACCACAATTATATTCAACCACTTCAACAAACCGACAAAACTGACTTCAAAACAACAAAATTCTCTTCAAAACAACAAAATTCTCTTCCCAATAAAAAAATAACCCCTCACACTATAAGCGTGTGTCTCCTAACTGATGTAAAATCTCTCTCTAAACGCGCATATTTGCTAGCTGACCTTTAAACATGTATACATACAGCGACTGGTTTAAACATGATATTTACACTCTATTTAAAAACAATGTATCACTGTAAAGAAATATTAACTCGTTGTTTCATCTACAATAATATATCACTGTAGGGAAATATTAACTCGTTATAAGATACATATCTACATATAAACTTCATGATTATTCTGACAATCTATGCTGTACATATTTTTAAAACAAAAGATAAAAAATATTTGGATGGTCAAAAGCCGGTTCGTCATCCCCTGTAATGTATTGAATGAAATATAATCTATTTATGGTTATCTTTGAAAATAACTTATGCAATATTTTTGCCCACATTCGAAGAAATACCGTTGTCACCTATTTACAATTTGAATGAAATGAAGTGAATGATAACAAACTTTAAAAGAAATTTTTTGAAATTTTAGGTATTCAAAACATTTATTTGGTGATGAATTCTTAAATTATAATTATTGAACAGATAAACAATTCATAACAATATTTGATGTGTTTGTACCCATTTATAAATGGTATGATGTAATTATTAATTCTGTATGATATGTTTAGTGAAACTAACTCTACGCTAGGTAGAATTCTAAATTGTCTGCTCTTGAATATTATTTCAATTTTATAGAGATATGAACCATAATTGTTTAGGTTCGATTTGAGATTCTTTAATTAGATTTCATGCGAATATTGACTTTTGTCCTCCATAGAAACTTAATATACTCTCACTTATATGAGAAACAATTTTGAAAAATTGGTGGTTGACTTCTCCGTTCCGTTCCTGCTTCTGTATATCCATAAGACTATATTGAATTGTTTAGCTTACCCGCACTACAATTACTATTTGACACAAAGGCTGCTCGTTGAGTTCCACCAAAGGAACCTATTCTTACTCTGATTTTATATAAAATGACTTAAGCCTTTAGTTAGTAGTTTTTTATCATTATTATTAGAATGATAATTGAGAGTAATGTATTACATTTCATTATCATTGTTACTTCCCTTTAAAAAACATTTTAAAGTTACTTTCCCTTTTTTCATTGCGTTATTAGAAAACAAAAAAGGCAGACAACATAATATTGTTCTTTTCCCTTAAAATCATTTGTTTTAGAGTGATTTGTTGATTAAATCTTTATTGAAATGAACACGTCATATGACAGGAAGTGCTAGACTCATGACACCGATGAATTATCTCGGACATTGTCAGTCATACTCTCAGATTTTGGATTTGGAAACTGTGTTACTCTTGATTGGGACACTGTTCTCCCTGATGCAATTTCTGCAAAAATCAATTTGATAACACATTTGTGCTGGGACTATTTCCATCTAAATAACAACCCATACTGCACCCGGAATTTTCATTCAAGAAAGAGAAACAGCCGTAACATGATGATAACAACACTAAAATAGAACAAACATCCACTAATATATCAAATATTCAGGCGCGCTGCTAAACATAATCCTGAAGAATTGGCTGAATGCTAAATTACTGGGAAATAAGAACCGTTTATCAAAACTAAAAAGGTTCGACAAAGGATATGTTTCGGGTTTTGCTGTTTCATCTGACTGCGACACTGCTAGAACATGACAAGCAGATTGTTTGGCTGGCTGGATCTCTCTAACGTCTGAGTTGCAAGATCAAACATCCTCTACAGAAGAGTACATGCCTCCTATAAATGCCTCAAGTACCAAAATTGCCACTGTTCAGACAATTCTGGAAATTTCAAGAGCTATAAACCAACAGTACACATTTGTGACCTTTGATTTGGCTGCTGCTAAAAAGGCATATTCTATAGTATGGAAAAATCCGACTTAGTACAGTGATACTATCATACATTAAGGGGCTTTTCTTTTGTTAGGTTCTTACCTAGGGGCGATTGGCAAACGGCTTCGTGGAAGTGCTTTCTCAAAAATCCTGATAGAGTTGTTTGAATGCTAATTTGTTAACAGTTGAAGCTCTCGAAAGATTGCATTTTGACGAGTTTTTAGCAGCAGTTATCCAAATCCACAACCCTAGTACATTGGAAGATAACAAACAAGCGTTAAATGGGCTAGCTGAGAATCAAAGACGTGAACACCTTGAAGATGTGTTAGCTAATGATTTTGTCACTGAATTTTACAAGAGGTATCAAGATTTCAAGGAAGACGTCCGAAAATGTCACTTAGGGAAGACGGCACAGTTTTGGATGGATTTGGCTGGTTATTCGTTTTATAAAAGTCACGAAGGAAAATGATCTTGACCTATACATATCAACATGACAAGATATGCTACAATTATTCTTTGCCTATGATCATCAAAACTATGCAAAATATCTATCTGTATATGTTCTTATGACGATAAACTGATTCAAAACACCAGGGATCAAGAAAGCTTCTTCAAAATGTTTGTTTGTTTGTTTGTTTCATTTTACGCCTTTTCCCAACAGTATTTCAGTCATATAGGCGGGTAGTTTCCTAACCATCGTTCCTGGAGAGTAAGCTTCTTCAAAATAACGGATTCAGTGTAAGCATATCCAATGTGCCTAGCTCCCTAAATGCTGTTAATATAACAATTGAGCAAACAATAAACAGGCATGCAAAGTCAAAGTCTCGTTGAAGCATTATAGGATTCAGCAGACACTTTGCTTCCTACTACAGATGGGAGTCAAACACAACACTCGAGAGCCAGCTATGTTGAGGCTATATTCTGCAAGGCTGGCATGTCGTCAGCGGATACTTCTACACACATTATTCACAAGCAGCAAATATAGCTGCATCACGAAACTCAAAGAATCAATAACTAACTTTATGAATCCATTTGCAACATATAATAGGGATGTAATGTTCTGTTTCAATTCAAGTTTGCTATTTTTTCGCATTAAAATGACAAAACCGGTGTTAAATAGCCGATAACACCAATAAGCCCGAAAATATTTCGATTCTAACAAGATAAAATAAGGAAGATTTATAATGTTATTTTTTCAAGCGTTTATAATTTCCGCTGCAAATTTTTGTATAACGCTGTTCGATTTCGCACCCTACTGTTGCTAAGATATATAAATCATAAAAAAAAAATAATATGAAAAAAGTAATTTTATCAAGTTTTTCAACAATAAAAACTTACGTCTAAGAATGGATTGTATTGTGTTAACATCAGTTCCCAATTTATCATTCTTGATCTCTGAAATGATGTCAGCGTTTATGAATGAGTTGTATACTTAAGATGACTTCATAACGCTGCTTACGGTTGGCGCAGTTTTGTCAAAATATGTATTAACTGATATGGATCAAACCTGTGGCGTATTTCAGTATTTTATGAAAAGAAAACATAATAAGAACTGAAAATATAAATAGAAATGCTTTTAATTGTTACTTTAAAAGGCTTTGTAAACTATAAAATCGTGGGAGAAAACATAACAGTCGCATATACAAGTATTCCCTAACGAGTGTTTATTGGCAGTTTAACATCGGTTATTTTATTTTTTGTCTACTAAAGCAGTACCCTTTTTGCACATGCACAGGTCATTTTCTGCTAAACACAAATCGACGACAGACAGCAATCCAGTGAATGTTCATTCTACTGTTGATAGTTGGAATGTGAGGGTAACAATATGGATATGCACCGTGATAACGTTTGTGTGAAAAATTGTATTCTTACACATTAAATTCCAGGAGTACAGACTGCTGTGGCGGTTTCCTTGCGAGCTCGCACATAATAATTTATGATAGTCACTGCGCAAACAATAATATATAATCTAATTATCCCTTAATAGTATAGTACGGTGCGTATGAAATATGGTCATATTTGAAAGCAACAATTCATTAATAATTGAATTTAATTCTCATGGAAATAGTTATGCTTTAAAGCAGCACAAATGAATATAGTCACACAATGATATCTAAACGTGTGCAATTTGTAAATTAAATTAAATTAAATTTGTGTTGACTTGTTTCTTCAATTAAAAGTATTTTGAATAAATTCTTTGAATACTTTTGTAAACATAAATTATGAAAATTTACTCAATAATATTTCTAAGTGTATTATACTTGGCCCTGTTTCTAAAGACATCAAACAGAAACTTTTAACTTAATCAAATAATTTACGATTGCCTGTGAAAACGCGTGCATGCGATGGACGACAAAATAACCGTACAATTTACCCACGAAAATATGAAGTAATTAAAATATGCTGCAAATATTTGTAAAATGTATAAAGTAAACTTCAGAGACAAAAAAAATTACATTCATATGTCTTGACATGATAATCGGTACAACGTCTCAGCCTGGCACTGATATTAGTTTAGCATCACTTTTGCAAGTTTCAGCGTATATATTGTTGTTGACTGAATCATTATATTAGATTACAATATATATCAGTATGTTAAATTTTAAATAACACATTGCTTAACAAACTTTGATGATTGATTGGAGTCTCAATCACAAAAACGTTTACATTTTATAAACTATATGAAAATATTTATTTAATGATAAAGATAAATGTATTTCTTTCTTCCAAGTAATCGTTTTCTGAGCCACAGTGTATAGTATTATCTTCAAAAACGTAGCAGTACGCTAATTCTTGATAGACTTTATTGTCTTAGTTTTCAGAGCAGTTACTGCATTTGTACATATTTTACAAAATGTGTGTCAGTGGTATTAAACTCCTCACAGTTTAATAATTTTACAAAAAAATATTCTATTGTCTGTTTGTTTTGCCTTCCAGATGTCATGGTGTAAGAAATGGCTGCTATTACGCTAATATTAGAACTGATAGTCCTCACATGCATGTTGATGACAGAAGTTTTAGTAGTAGACATGCGACCATTAGGTAATGTGTAAGATTAATACCTTTATGATACCGATACAAACGTGATAAATATATATCTAGCCTGTAAGAATTCGAGCATTGTACACATACTGTTTAAGACGCCAAGGTAAAGATATCGAGAACTTAAACGATTTCATTTTGTTATGTTTAAATTTGGCTCTAATTTACCTCTAAGTAATAAATGAATAGGCAATTATATATGTATAAAGTTTATTTTGTATTAGGTTGCAAAAGGGACATATAGGGTGATCGACATACGCAATTTATATCAACACGGTTTTATGATAACCTTAGAACTATTTTTATACCTCCGCAATCAGTGATGCCGTAGCAATTTGTTGTTTTGTTGGCAAATGCAAATATATATGATAAGATCTAAAATATAGCAGATAATACAAAATTGTTCTAGAACAAAATACATTATTATTATTCGTCCCAAATATGTAAATTCTAAATCACTAAGAGTTTCAACAACACATTTTGCAAGCAATAATTCTAAGAATATCCTAATGATACATTTCTTTTATTTAATCTACATTTGAAATACTTATTACATGCCCATAGTAGTCAAGTCTACTTTAAAAATTAGAAGTAGATCGGGTACAAGACAATACGCTTAATGGTGGATCAAATGAAAGTTAAGATGAGCATAATTATGCTAATAACTAAATTACCACTTGAACTTCATTCGTCTAACGTTTTTAGACCGAAGACTTTGATCTCAAACGATAATTTTACGAGTTTCTTTATGATAACGTCCGTTGGTCATGCGTTTAAATTTAAAAAAAATATTAGGTTGATCATTAAGGAGGGGAAACATTTATATAATAAGGTTTCCTACACATAAATAGGAATCAATAAGATGGTAAAATATGCATATGTAGAATACGATAAGCAACTGCATTGACATATTGTGACTTTATCTTTTTAGCTCACCTTAGCAAGCTCTGGGTGAGATTTAAGGATCGTTGAATGCCTGTCGTCCGTCCAATATGCTTGTGAACACTCTATTGGTCACATTTTTGACTCAATCGTCATTAAACTTGTCGGGGTGCTTGTCTGGGTAATTGCTCAGATAAGTTTGAACATGAGTAATCCGTGATGTAAAACTAGGCTGCAGGAGCTAAAAAAGAACACTCAAGTGGCTCTGTTTTGATTCAAATATCCTACAAATTGGTCTGAAAGTTTGTTTTGATGATTTATATGTAAAGTTTTTGAATATGGGATACCTGGGGTCAAAAACTAGCTCACAACGCCCAAATATGGAAAATCTTGTTTAAATTCTTGTAGTCACATTGACTCAATCATCAGCAAGCTTTGTCAGAATGCTTGTCTGTGTAATTGCTCGGATGAATTCGAACTATGAACATATGAAAAACTAGGTCACAGGAGCTAAAATAGAAAAATCTTGTGAACACCTTAGTGGCTACTGTTTTTATCCAAATATCCTTGATATTGGTCTACAAGTTTGTTTTGATGATACCTAGGTCAAGGTTGAATATGGGTCACCTCGGGTCAAACACTAGGACCAAAGGTCCAAACTTTGTTAACACTCTGGTGGTCACATTACTAACTCAATTGTCATCAAACTAATTTGAAATTTGGACCGGAAATATAATTTCTGATGTCAAATTGAATTTTGATATCAACTGACCTACTTTCGATATAAATGATATCGTTTGACCTAGTTTCTCGTGTTTTTTTTAAATGCAGACTTGGTGTAATTTCGGTGCAGAATCTAATTTCGATATTGGCTGACTTTAGTTTGATATTTTTGATAACACTTGACCTCCTTTTTTGTTTTTTGACGTACATACTTCAAATTTGAACCATTGGGGTAATTTCTTATGCCAAATGGAAGTTTGTTATCAGCTGACCTACTTTTGATATTGTTGATATTGTTTGAGCTACCTTTTTGCTTTTTGACATACAGACACGGAATTTGGATGAAGGGTGTAATTTCTGATGCCGAGTTGAATTTTGATATTATTTGAGCTACTTTTGACATTTTTGACATTATGTGATCTACTGTCTTTATTTTTGACATACATGTACAAGTTTAAAATTTGGACCAGGGTTGTAATTTTTGATACTGAATTGAATCTGTATATCAGCTGACCTACTTTTGATATATATTGACCTGCAATGAAATGATGGGGTAGGTTAGCGATCTCGGGCTATACTGGCCCTCTTCTTTCAAATTTGTAGGATGTCCGCTTTTAAATTCAACCGGTATATGCCTTGGATCATTTGTACGTGGAAGTCAGAGTAACCGTGGTGATTTCAATGAGATAGGAAGTATTATAAAAGCATTTACACTACCAGGCCAGGACGATTACTTGTTATGTCAAGAAGATGGAACGTATAACTCTTCGAGATCTTGTCTTATCGAAGACAAACAAAGTAAAAAATATGTTAACTTTATATTGTCATGACTGTATCATATATTGTATGCTTAAATTAAATTAATGTTTAAATTCAATTCAAATATCGTAACAATAACATAACGATGAATACTGTCTGCAAAATTAAAGCACAAAATTCCCCCCCCCCCCAAAAAAAAATCAAAATACCGAATTTGTTTCCTTGTTATTTTCAGCTATTTGCAGTACATCTAATTACCAAACAATTCGTTATTTGATAAGGAATCCAAGTCAGTCAACATTTCTGACTGGACGTGTTCTCAGTTTTTCATGTGAACCAGGCTTTACATTAGAAGGCCCTGAAAGCGTTTACTGTAGATCATATAACAACTGGAGTGATAACACAATACCAAGATGTACTAGAGGTTGTCCATATCCAGGACATCTCGACAATGGCTATTATACTGATAGTAATGGGCTTCGGTTGAGCAGTGGTGGTAAAGCTATTAATGAGTATATAATCGGACACTGCAATGCAGACTTTAGTATACAAGGGAATAAAAAACTAACTTGTCTACGGAATGGTCAGTGGAATAATGATGTTCCGAAGTGTGTTGCTGCAACTTGTGGAGTTCCAATACACTCCACGCTCAATGGTACTTATATCTTTCCGAATGGATCTTATCCTTCATCTAGAAAATTTCAAATTGGAGATAACTTAATTCTTATCTGTGAGAAGGGTTTTTCTTCATTGGCAAATGATTACATTACATGCGGCAAGGGAGGACATTGGTCTTCTGGACATTTTCATAAGTGTCAACCTATTAAATGTGGAAACCCGGATGAGGTAGAAAACGGTGGTTATTTACTTCAAAGTAATTCGGTTTATTATCCATATTCAGGAAAACCGTTGCCTTACGGTATTTCAATCTACGTCTCGTGCCTGGACGGATTCTATAATGACGGAAATCCCATTTTGGTATGTACTGAAAATGGGTCATGGTCAGGTGCAAAGCCTATTTGCACAAAAATAACGTGTAACACTCCCCTTCAATTTGAAAATGGTTGGTATGAATTCAAAGGAAATAAAATAACAGTATCTGCAACTTTTAAATATAAAGAAAAGATATATGCTCATTGCAATGAGGGCTATATCCTAATGACGCATTCACAAAGAACATGTATAAAATTGAATGAGTGGAGTGAACCGAAACCAATTTGTAAAAAGGTACTTTGTGCAATGCCTATGTCGAGTTCAAGCGGTTATTACAAGGATTTGAAAGGTGATTTGTTAACACAGAAAGAAATGGAGTACAACACAAATATAACATTCTATTGTACAATTGGATATGAATTAACAGTTGGAACATTTAAACGACGATGCGATGTTACTGGAAACTGGAGTGGAAGTAATCCTAAATGCTCGCCTATAACCTGCATTAAACCTAATGAGGTATGTGGATATTATGCTATAAACAGATTAAATGACCTGCAGTCAAACCTAGCATCGGATCTGCCATATAACACAACACTTCGTTTTGTGTGTAACGATTCCAAATATTCTTGCAAAAATAATTCCTATATGCTACAGTGTTTGGAAGGTGGAAACTGGCATGGAAATAAACCCCATTGTGGTGATTACATTTGTATTTTCCTTTTATTATATTTATTGAATGGTTTTCAACTAATTATGTAAGCTGCTATTGACATGTGTTTTATAATTTTATTAGAGGTGCATGTAAATTGAAAGAAAAACATTTTAATTATCAAAAATGCTGAGCTGAACTTATCGACATCTTTTAAAGTAATTGTCAATATCAAGGAATTGTATGGTTATTTAGATTTTGGATGTTAACTTATAAAAAGTGTGAAACCAAAGCATATTGAAAATACTAGTTATCTTGTTGTAAGTAATTCTTGTAACCACTCTTATGCAGAAAACCAAGTGCCTTATGGTACCTATTTATGTTTCGAACTTTTTAATAACGGAAAAACGGTGTTAAAGGGCTATGAAAATATGTCATGGTCAGGACCTAAACCAATTTGTACCCGTATCATATGACAAATGGGGGGCGGGTATCAATAAAATCAATGGAAAATTTCTCATTTACAAGCTTTGCATATAAAGAAAAATATATCGCCATTTAATTTGATTTGACTGATTAAGATGAAAAAGGGAACATTTTTACGCAAATTAAGATTGTATGCAATGCAAACATGTTTTTTATTGTCAAATTGAATATAATTTAACAATTTGGCAGCAACTAGAAACTGAACTGCAACCGAAAACTTGACTGGAATAAATTCATTATTCGCGCCTTTAACATATGCAAACCCCGAGGTCATTAAATGTAGAAACTATATGCAATCAAACACAACAACAATCTTTAGGGAATTCCCCTTTATAGAATTTTCATATAACACTACACTTCTTTTTGTATGTATTTTATTAACATATTCTTGCCAAAATAAAGCAAGAGAAAACATTGGTTTAAAGGGTGGACCTTGGATTGAAAAATATACATGTACATATTTCTGGTAAATATAAACATAATTATTATTTCTTTGCTTAAGATATGAAACTTATACATGTGCAATACCTGTTAGTTTCGAATAATATTATATGACAGGCCATATTCTTGACACAATTTAATACGTAAAACTAATTCACTGACTAACGTGTCTTATTGTTTATCATAAACATCAAATCGTTTTGAAGTTTAATAACATTTCTACCCACGTTTAAAAAGAATCAATTCAAGCCAACGGAAATTTGCACCAAACCTAACATAAAATTTAAATATTTCGACAATAGTAAATAAACATCATTTAATAATTTTATGAAAGCATTAATGTAATCTCAATTTATTGTTTATGTATAAAATACTAAATATAAAAACTGACCTTTATTTGTTATGTTAATCCTGTTTCATAAAACTAAAACCATTTATTGTTTATTTATCTCAAAGAGTAACAGTGTGAGGATTTTAGTCATCGTCAAAGCAAAACTAAAATTTACAGCTTTGTAAACTAAATCGTTATAGATATGAATATATAGCGTAGGCACTATGTCTATGTGTGTAATAATGAATAAAAAATTATACACTATAAACAGAAAGATATATCTATCTATTTTCAATTTCATATCAGACACAAATATAAGTATGTATCAAGCAATATGATCGGGGTTGAATTGGCTTGGTTGGCGTCGGTATGACACCACTGTGAATTTTTGCATTGTCGAATTATTCTAATACTAGTATCCGTTCAAGTTACCAAGCATCTTTATAAAACAATGACGATTATCATTTATAGTTTTCTTTAAATTTGTTAGATTTAAGTATAATAAACATTTTTACAGAAAAGGTCAAGGAGCAAAACGAACAGCAATACACAACACGTAACAATGTGGTGATTGGCATAGTTTCTGGAGTCGTTAGTATCGTTATTGTACTAGCGTGTATTACCACCTTTTTAATTTGTTGGAGAAGGTATAAAAACTTAGCATTTTTGCTTTAGACTGTAATGTCATAAATGTCTTGTTACTGTTAAATGAAAAGGTTATCAAGTGATAATGTGTATACTTATAATATAATTGTTATTCATATATATATATTTCTTTCTGTTCTTGGAAAACACGAACCTACTTTCATTTTGAACAAATTTTAGCCATTTTTTGCATTAGAAGGAAGTAATTCAATATCAAATGCAAAGGTAAACAATCATACTTTTAGTAATTGATGTATAGCATTGGCGGTGAATTATTTGCCCAAAAGGGTAAATCAAAACAATCGTATTTCACAACAATCAAAAAATCAAAAGAACTTCTTCAAATTTCTTTTCGTTTTACATGAAAAGGATTTACAATAAAAGCCATATATTTTGTAACGTAGGCGTATTGCTGCTAGAAGGAGCAAAGAGAATTCAAACTATGATAACTTAGCGGTGGACCGTGCGGCATCTGATGCCGACTATGAAGAATTAAATATTGTTAACCCAGAAACAGGTATTGGAGTTGAATTTTTGCATGTGATCATTTACAATGTAATATTAATATTATATGATTTACTGAAATTAAAGAGAAGTAAATATCAACAAAGGAAATAAATCTCAAAATAAACTCACAATACAAGTTAGAGATCCAAAGAAAAAATAAATGATATTGAAAAGTTAAGTATTTTTTGATAGCGCATTATGTTTGTCTTTTGTTTTATAAACATTGTTATATAATTATTATGTTTTTGTCATAATGAAAATAATAATTATCAAAGTTATCGTCCGCTAAAATTATAGTTATAGTATTGCCTTTATGACTTTACAGGTGCAGTGTCAACTTTGTCATGATGTTTTGCTGCTTATTTAACAACACTACTGTTTCTTGTACTTCGTAATAGTATTAATTTCGATTATATAGAGATCTCGACCCTGGAAAGATCAAGTTTGACTTTAAATATGTCACAAGAAAGACAATGAACCTATTGAGAATTTGTACTACTTGTTTATCAAGCAGTTTCCATATCTCATACAACATTTACCTAAACATCAGATTGTATTTCTGTTCCGTTATCAAATATTAATACCATTTAATGTATACTTTTATTGTTTTTTTATATTAAGAGGATAATTTTTCGCTAGAGTGAAATATGGAATATATTTTCAAGAAACATGATAAAATGCCACATATTTTCACGAGCCGGGACTATCATTCTAGATAGTTTTCAACAGAAAGTTCAACAAAAAGTTATTTTGTATTTATCAGATTTTTCAAACGAAATGGCGTAAGAAGTCACTTAAAATAAATATAGGTTTTGACTCTGCCCACTTTTATATTTATATTTCATATTTTTTTTTGAAATATAAAATATATTTGACTGATATAGAACCATATGTCATGAGTAATATTAAATACTGGTATTCGATGTTTATCGATATCAGTACATATTTTGTTGTATTCCAAAATTATATGGCTGCTCTTCCCAGATATTCAAAAGAAACTATATAATATATAATTACTTTAGGATAAAGTGGAGAAAAAATTTATAGTTTCTGGAAATATATTGTGCGTATACGTGTGAATATACGGATAGTTAAAAAAAACAGATTTTTTAAATACACTTGTTACATACAAATGTAAAGTATAATCGGTACGAATGCATTCATAGCAGATTTCTATGAAAATTAATAAACAATTTGAAGTAAAAACGTTCGATGCACCTTACTTTTGAAAACAAGCAATTGATTCAATTGTGTTTTATTTAATTTTGATTGACAAACATAAATTTGCTCGTCACATTTAGGTTTAGATCTTTATCTTTAAACAATGATTTTTTTCTACGAATGATACAGAAAGGAATTAATAAGTTTTTTTATTTACCTCATTACTTTATATAACTCAAAAGGTGTTGAGATATTGTATTTTAATATTTTGTGCATAAATTGCGCTTAATATAATCGTGAATTTGAAACAAAGATAAAAGGTACCAGTTAGCAATAGGAGTTCAACAACTTGTTGTGATTCAAATATAGTAATACGTCTGTGTATATATGAAGTCTAACCAGAAAGAAATACAAACAGATATATCGAGTAAAACATCAATATTTTTTTTAAACTTCAGAAGTATAACTGTATTGTATAAGTATATAACCCGGCTGCAGCGCGAACATGTTTCCTTAGATATCAATGGAAAAAGGTATTAATGTCATTACATTGATTTATTTTTGATAAAGTGCATGCCTGATTAATCAAGCTTTATCAGTCAACCTCAGCTTTATCATACACCTCATCCACACATATTTAAATAATATGAATAAGAATGGAAAAGTATTACCTCTTACTAGTTTGAAAAAATATTAAACTTATAAACTTTGAACAGAATCTTTTTATATTAAAGATTCTCTTATATTTGACTAAAACATTTTGGACTTTTTCTTCTAGATTTTATCCTTGACATATCACTGCCCGCGGCTGTAAAACATATACATGTATATTCCTACTTCACTTTGTAGCATTACAAAGCATTTTTGTAGCACTTATAACCTTTGTCTTTCTCTGTGATCGGAGCCTGCTTAACCATCTCGAAGATACACATAGCTTTTTTCTTCTTCAAAGATTTCCTGCGTAGTTTAAGGTGTCCGTGTCAAGTTTGTTTAATATTTTTGGTATGGTATTTTATTGTTTGTTGTATATTCAACATATATGGAAATATTGATCATGTTTTTATCTCGATTTGACCCTGTTCATGGACTGTATTGGTAATTGCAGAATACTGTATACGACCCCTAGCATCGGATTTGGCAGGTTTCAACAGTCATAAAAATGGTGAAATTTTGAATTAAGAAACATCCGTAGACGTGTTAATTCGGCAGTAATCGTGGAGCCTTCAATGTGACATGTCCGTACCATTCCATGAAACGCGTCATATGGTAACAAAGTAGAAAAATGTGTGTGCCTTAGACGAGAAACCAATGGCTAAAACTAATTGAAATGAAATTTTACAAGGGGGTCAGAGGTTATAAAGCCTGCAAACCGAAGACAAGACGACAAAAGCAGGTAACATATACCCAGGATGATTAAAAATATTCGAGTTGAATAAGTCTGGCATCATCTTATTTTTTTAATAAAAACAGAGTTAGACAAAAAAATTAAAAGATTTTATGAATATGCGATATATGCCACATCAACGTGAGAAAAGATATCGAAGTAAAGTGGTTTTACACGCGCGCGCGCACACACACACACACACACACACACGCACGCACGCACGCACGCACGCGCGCACGCCCATACGCACACATACACACACACGTACAGACATACTGGTAAATCATTGCTCTTGTACCTGGATTTAAGAATATGGTAGTTTAATAACTTGCATTTACACTTAAATAACATAAGAATTTGAGCCATTTGATGTGCAGACAGAATATTCAAACTACGATAAAAGTAATTTTTCTCTTTTCAAAAAAGATTTTGCTGCCATTGTACCTTTACATGTCAAGTTTTTCAAATTGCACATTTTATATTGATTAATATTATTATATATTGTTTATGATTTGAGAACTTAGGAATATCGTTAATATAATCGTCAAAGAGATTTAAAACAGTTTTCTTTTTTTCAAACAGTAAAAATAGTAACGGGATATGAATGCTTCTAATAGTGTTACGTGATTCGCTTCATGATCAACAGTTAATATGTTCTTCGAAAGTCCTATTTAAACGTTGGTTCTTCTAAAATACAAAAAATACAAAAAGAAGAATAATTATAATAAAAAAGGATTAGAACACAATAAACGTAACGCCATGTAATCATGCAGATCTATCAATATTACATTGTGTGTGATAATTTGGTGCCAGATATTGACCCCGAGTGTTACTTCCCTGATCAAATTAATTGCCGGGCGACGTAATTGACGAGGCATTTGAAGGAAGGGCTTACTCTTATGCTGCAAACACTTGTTATCCAACCCATTCGCTACTATTTGTTATATACTTATCATTTGTTTAATATTTGACATGTTGTGCTGCTAAAGACAGTTTTACGACGCGGTCCGTTGTTATGAAAAATTGACCGGTAATGGTATTTTCTCACGCATGCGCAATATGCGTAGGGCAAAAAAGAACATCGCCCTACATAGAAATGTGTTAGAAGTTCGTAGATAATTCCGAGTTAGTTTAAGAAAAAAAAGAAAATCATATAAAATAGCTCTTAACAGGAACACAAAATATACATTTAAAGCAAATGACCAAATTGCCAATTAATAGGCATTGAAAAGACGACTTTTTAAGAATTTTCCCTTACGACAACGGACCTGACATTGATATATTTGTTGTGAAAAAGTGTGGCATTATAAATATTAGCAAATGTCAGTTTATATTTTTATTTTTTTAATCTTTCATATAAAACTAAAGAAATTTTATAACATATAAAATCGAGGTAAATTATCATTCTGGAAAAAGTTGGAACACGAGATAATGCATTTTTAGTGTTCAGTTATAATTGTATCCTTTATCCTACTTGATAATGCTGCTAAACAGAATTTTTTAATCCTATAAAGGTTTCATGTCCAGCTGACAATTGACAAAGCAAATATTTTCAAAATGTATTTGAGGTTTAAGACCGACATCTTACCGAAACATTCTTTTTGATTCAAGTATCTTTACAGAGAAATGGGCCAAAAGGTTTTATTAAAACGAGCACAGGTAAAATGAAATGATTGTTTTGATTTTACTTTTGTTTTAAATATTAAATTAAATGTATAAAAGGCAAAGCAAAGGACCCATGACAATGTGCTTATTGTTAAATGATATCTAAGATGTAAGATGTTAAATGCGTCCGCATAATACATTAAAACAGTGAGTAATCAAAATATGATATATATTCTTTGAATGTGAAAATGTAACGAGCAGATAACTTCTGCTTTTTGGATGAATGAGTCAACTAAATAGTATATGGTTTTAGATCAATATCTATACTAAGGAAAACATCGTAAGTATTATTTATTAGCCAGTAGTGAAATTAATGTCCGAGATCAAACCGAGAATCACTGACTATGGCGAAACAACACAGTCATGAAGAACACTGACCATGGCGAAACAACACAGTCATAAAGAATTGCCTCCTTTAATTATCGTAAATTATAATATATTCAGTTGCTATCCTTTTCAGTTCATTATTTTTATCACAAGAGCTCTTTTCGATAATGCGCAAGGTTTTCGGCGTAAAGTGCACACTAATTCATGGCGCGTAATTTCCCGAATAGAGCTTAACCTTGGTGACAGACGCCCCTAAGAGCGAAAGTACGACAAAGTGTTCACTTTATTGTATTTTCTCGTGTTTTTTTTTTAGCCTAACGTAGCGAAAATAGGACATGGCTCAAATTAACCACCATAAAATTTCCTCACTAATCGTACGTGATGCTATCAAATATCACCATTCAAAATACACATGCCGCATTATCTTGATATGTTGAAAGTTACTATTATATGTAATGAATGATGCGACAAGTCCAGTTTTGTTATATATCCTTAGACATGAAAGAAAAACTAAACTTGTTTAACGCTTAGGACTGAACGTTGATATCAAATTCATACGCAAATCACACTACAGTTATGAAATGCAATAAAGAAATAAAATAGTAGACAAAAATAAACGCAAACTCGAATTTCAGCCGTGAGGCATCATTAGAGATGGATCAACCATTAGATGAGAAACTTAATTTGACTGTAGACGGCAATGCCATGCTGAAGGCTGCAGGATGTCTAATGTGCTGCTCCTGCAGTCCAAAAAGTAACAACAAGGCCAGAGAGCAAAGAAAAAAGAATATCAAGTAGGTAGTTTTTCCCTTTACATCGGCGTGGCATTTAAACAATACAATTGTTGCTTTGACAGATATCAGTTTAAGATTAAAGCGCGAGTTGTAGTATCTAGTAGTTTGTGAAGAATATGTATCATATGGGCTTGTAAAGAAAAAAAAACTGTATCTCTTTAAATGGCTTTAGCTTGTCAATCCTTTTAGAAACTTGGCTGATGTGGGCAGGGCTTTATTTAATTTCGCTCAAGGCATTCTTAAGGGCCTTAAAACTGAGAGCTTA